GAGGCCATTTTGGTACCCAAAGGACAGCTCGTAAAGTGTTAGAATCTGGTTTTTATTGGCCTACATTGTTCAAAGATGCTAGAATGTTTTGCTTAACATGTGATAGATGTCAAAGAACAGGTTCTATTGGTGCAAAAGACCAAATGCCGCAAACACCCATCTTCAATGTTGAAATCTTTGATGTTTGGGGTATTGATTTCATGGGTCCTTTTCCTTCTTCATTTGGTTTCACTTATATTTTGCTTGCGGTTGATTATGTTTCTAAATGGGTAGAAGCAAAAGCTACCCGTACTAACGATTCTAGAGTGGTTTCAGATTTCATCAAGACTAACATTTTCTCTAGATTTGGGATGCCGCGGGTATTTATAAGTGATGGAGGTTCACATTTCTGCAATAGGACCATTGAGGCACTCTTCAAGAAGTACAATGTCAAGCATAAGGTTTCAACACCTTATCACCCACAAACAAGTGGCCAAGCTGAAGTATCAAATAGAGAGGTCAAGCAAATCTTGGAGAAGACCGTGGGGCCTAACCGGAAGGATTGGAGCATGCGTTTAGACGATGCACTATGGGCATATCGCACTGCCTACAAAACACCCCTAGGGATGTCTCCATTTCGGCTAGTTTATGGAAAACCTTGTCACTTACCCGTGGAGCTAGAGCATAAGGCACATTGGGCCATCAAAACGTTCAATTTGGACTTAGATGCTGCTGGAATGCATCGGAAGCTCCAATTGAATGAGCTTGAGGAACTAAGGAATGAAGCCTACGAGAATGCCCGCATTTACAAGGAAAAGACGAAGGCGTTTCATGACAAGATGATTAGGGGCAAAACCTTCACAATTGGGCAGAAAGTTTTACTTTTTAATTCTCGTCTACGTTTATTTCCCGGAAAGTTACGTTCTAAATGGATTGGACCTTTTGTTGTTACTAATGTTTTTCCACATGGTGCAGTTCAAGTCCAAAGCTTAAGGAATGGGGTGGAATTCAAGGTCAACGGACATAGATTGAAGCCATACTATGAGAATGTCGTGGGGCAGGTTGTGGAGGAGATCTCACTCCATGCCGTGGGCACCAATGGTGCCTGAACATGTTCTTCGTCCGGCTGCAAGACGTTAAAGAAAGCGCTACTTGGGAGGCAACCCATGCCATTCAACAAAGGAAGACCTAGAAAGCACTCCAATTCCAAATTTGCGTTCCTAAACCCTTATCTTTGTTGATTCTTTCTAATCTGCCTATTTAGTTGTTTTACTTGCTGTTTGTGTGTTTCTTTGTGTGATTTTATGCTTAAAACATTGAGGACAATGTTTGATTTTAAGTGTGGGGGGGTAACTAAGTGTTTTTCATGCAAATTCGTGGGATTTTATCACCCATTATTTCAAAACTTGTTCCTTGCTGTTTTTAAGTGTTTTTAAGCAGTTTTGGTGTGTTTTAGTATGTTTTGAATAAAAATCCGAAAATCAAAGAAAAATTTGAAAAATTTGTTTTAAAAAACCCAAAAAAGAGTTGTTTTTGTGTGTTTGTTTGTGTCTTAGGGTACCTTCCAACACAATGATGAGGATTTGGTTTTTAAATACATGGCTGTTAAAGAGAGTGATTAACATGGATGAAAGTTTGATTTACTCTATGTTTATGCTTGGTTGTGGTTATAACTTATGAATTCACATGCAATCATAAAAGAAAAAAATCAGTTTTTGTAACATGCTTGAAGGAAGGAACTCAAATTAACGCTACAACCTTGTGAGACTTGAACCTAAACGTTTATTTGGAGAGTTAAAATCTGTGCATTCTTTGTTTTCTAAAATCGTTGCATGATCTCATTATTCTTTGCTTGGTTGCTACTTAGAAGGCGTTTCATCATTTAGTTCCAAACACTAGAAGTCATGCCCATTTCATTCAAAGCATGGTATTGATTAGCATAACACATATTCAAGATGAAGTTGTGTAGTGACCACCACTTTAACCAAAAAGCCGTGTGCCCTACTCCATTATATGTTTAGGTGTTAACCCCATTGAGCCTTGTTTAGCCTTTTCTTTGTTAACCCACATTACCTTCACCTAGCCTAGATTAGGACTATCCATACCCTCGTTCTTAAAGTATAGTAAGCATGATTCAAATGGAATTCCTTTATGGCAGAAACCAAGTGTGGGGGAAGTAGAAAGAAAAGAAAAGAAAAATTCGTAAAAAGAAAAATTCGTAAAAAAAAAAAAAAAAAAAAAAAAAAAGTATGAAAAGAGTTGAACAACATGAGAAAAAGAGTTCCAAGGTGTTGTTTGTTGAAGAAAGGGTCCAAAAAGTTGAATTCGGCCCTAAGAAGTTGTTTAAAGTCTTCCCCTTGTGTTTTTAAGTTAATTTCTGCAAACTAAGTGAATTCTAAGTCTTAATTTCATTACTTTGCTTACTAATGCTTGAAGTAACGTTTGTTTTCCCTATCCTTTCTTTGTTAACCAATACCCCAAGCCCCGTTGCAACCCTTAAACTTCTATCTTGAGTGTTATGTGTTTCAATTTGTTGAGTTTGAATTTGGTATGAGCATATGGTGTCACTGGTTCTCGCATCTAAGTAGTAGCATTCCATTCATGAGATCATATCTAAACATGCCTATTAACTCCGGAAATTGCATTCTTTGTGATACATATATGTGAGCATTCGTTTTTATATCTACATCAATTCTCTCACATATAACTAGTATAGGGTGTGTAGTTAGAAAATCTGAGTGAAAATAGAGTGCAAATCTATTAAGGATAGAAGGAATTCTCTAAGGCATGTTACTACATTCAAAACATTGTTTTAATTGGTTAATTGTGAACTAGTAAGTAGTGACTATGATTAAGCATGTGCTTAAGTGTTAAATTGACTCAAATCTGTGGGAATGATAATCTTTAACATGTCATGTGCATTGGAAACCCCTGAGGCAAACGTTGGAAGGTTTAGATTATGTTTGTTTGTTTTGTCTTGTTTTATTTCTTTGTTTTGCTCGAGGACTAGCAAAAGCTAAGTGTGGGGGAATTTGATAGGAGCATTTTTATGCGACTTAATTGGCTTGTTCTCATGCATTTATGTTGTTTTTCCTTAGTTAGTTTAGTGTTTAAAGTCATTTTCGTGCAATTTCAGGTTTTAGTGTCAAAGTATGCAAAAAGAAGCAATTTGGAGCATTCTAGAGCATTTTTGGGCCAAGATTGGATAGTGCAAGCATGGAGGCATAAGGATGGACGAATTTGAAGGCTTGAATTCAGTTAGGGAGCTGCAAGGGGGCCTAAAAAACCTTATTTCTAGAAGGCTTTATCTAATCACACATGGTGCCTAATTTCTAGCTTGTCTCCTAGCCGTCCTAGCTTGTCTCCTAGCCGTCCTACCTTGTCTCCTAGCCGTCCTAGCTTGTCACTAGCCGTCCTACCTTGTCTCCTAGCCGTCCTAGCTTGTCTCCTAGCCGTCCTAGCTTGTCACTAGCCGTCCTAGCTTGTCTCCTAGCCGTCCTAGCTTGTCACTAGCCGTCCTAGCTTGTCACTAGCCGTCCTAGCTTGTCTCCTAGCCGTCCTACCTTGTCTCCTAGCCGTCCTACCTTGTCTCCTACCTTGTCCAAGCTACACACATATATCCTTTAAGTGTTTCAACTAAGTTCAAAAACCTTTCCTAGCCCTATAAATAAGGCTTTGCAGCAAGGCACTTGGGGGGATCACTCATTCACCCAATTTTCGTCCATTCATCTAGCCACACCACTCTATACATCCTAAAATCCTAAAAACACAATTCCAGCCAAACACTACACCTTGCCGTGCCTATCCTCCATCCAATTCCATAATCCCTGATCCTAAAACACATCCCAACCATCCCATCCACCTTTGTGCCGTAGCAAGGAGAAAGAAGGAAAGACTCTTGGATGCTCAAGCTTCGTCGTTGGTGCATTCTAGGTGTAATTCGTTTTATGATTTCAATGTTTAATTTATTTTCCTTTCATTTTGCTATGAACATGAGTGGCTAAACCCCTATTGGTTAGGGGTGATTTCGAAGCCATAACTATGTGTGCAAGTTGATTTGATAAATTCCAGTTATGAGTTCTTGAATCGTGAATGCAATTGGCTTAACTGTGAGAGTAATAACGTATTTGTGTTTGTTAATTAGGGGTCGACACTTAATTGGCTTGCATGAATATGATGCTAGAATATAAGTTTGTTTCACATAATTGTCACACACTTATATTCACAAGTAGTGAAGGTTGCTAGTCACAATCGCGTTAAGTTCAATTCCTAGCATAAGTGTCATGATGTCATAGTCACAAGTGCTTTGTCAATGCTTATAGTTTTCATTGAACGTAATGATCTTTGATTGTATCTTTATTATGATGTCATGTAAGGAACTTTTGAAGAATGCTTTGGGTTGTCGTATGATGTCATCCAATTCAATAACACAAGGAAAACTTGAGAATTAACTAGTGATGTCATGGTTAATTTGGGGCATTGTCATTCATAATTCTATGAAGGAATAACTGGAAATCGAGTCATTTGCATACTTGTCATGTGTGGAGAAGGAACCCCTAACTAGTCCATCATCCATTAAAAACCCCAAAAACGTTTCAAAATCAGTTTTACTTTGCAATCTGTTTTCTCAACTTTAATTTCGTCCAAATCAAATCCCCCTTTACTTTGAAGTCTCAATTTAGTTAGAAATTGTTTTGGTTCATGTTTTTAAGTGTTTTGAGTCAAGTTTTCAACCAATTTCGTCCAAATTAGTGTAGGTGCTCAAAACTGCCCAGAAAGTGGTTTTTAGGCAGTTTTGAGTCTTCTAGTTGCTGTTTTGAGTTTTTGTTTTGTTTTAGTGTTTTAACTTTGGTTTTTCATTCTTTGAGTCCAAATTAGTGTTTTTAACTTTGTTTTGGAGTTCTTAGGTCAGTTTTCAAGAGTTTAGCAATCCCTCCTAATCCCCGGTTTTGAACGATCCCTACTTACATACTTTGCTACAATTGTCAGAAGAGGGTTTAATTTGTGTGCTTAATATATTTCGCATCAGCAGTCGATCACGGAGATTGTGGTGTTAACTTTTTCTGAGAGTGGACATCTTCCGCACTATAACAAAGAATATAAATCATAGTTTAACAAATGCTACCATGATGTTTGTTATGTAGGTGTCTGCTGGAAAAACAAATTGTAATTTACCTATCTTTGGTTTTTTTGGTTTGAGATTTTGTTCTGAGTGTGGCTATCGGCACTTTTTCTGCTGGTTCAATTTTGGGGACAACCAGATTGTGGAATTCTTTAGCAATTCTAGCAGAATTGGTTGTGTCTGTTTGGTCGCCGCGAGGTTTTTTGCTGTCAATGAAGGTACAAATTTATAAGGTTAGAGAACATCTAGGGAAGGGAGAATGGGACCAGTGAAAGAAGACAACTTTGGAAACCCAGCTTCGTGTAAATTTTATTTCTCCCTTGCGGCAAGAAGTAAAGAAACATGGAAATCAGTTTGATTTCTGCTGTGTTAGAATTATTGATACAGTGAATGCAGCACGGCCTTCCAGTGTTAAAATTAGTGATTCAGGTACAAAAACAACAAAAAATCATGTGCAATCGAATCAAGTGTTGAAAAAGCAAAGAAGAAGTAGATGTTCATTATGAAACCTATAGTAAGAAAAAACAGAGCTCAAATATGTTGGCTTGGTTTGCAATAGTATAGCTGGTAAGAATGCAAGTGGAAGAATTGTTCTGAAGAGAAATATATAATCAAAAGCAACTAAAAGTAAGCTATTGGAAGAAATTTAGAAACTCACAAACACCAACACTAAGTCAGACGCAAGCTCAACACAATTTAAATAGTAAAAATTCAAATATATATATATATGCTCTTGAATTGACAACTTCATCAAAAGAAGACTGAAATATCGTTGAACATTGTTTTGGCTAATCAAAGTTAAAACATAACAAACCAATAAAAAAAAAGAGTTAAATGGAATCCCATGGTCAATGGGGTATCAAATTGTAAACACTATAAGTCTAAAATTGTAGTATACCTAAGAGAAGCATGGTTTGGAAGATTGTAAACACTATAAGTCTAAAATTGTAGTATACCTAAGAGAAGCATGGTTTGGAAGATTTACACATGAGATTTTAAAGCAAGAGAAAACTTTACCTGTTATATTTGTCCAATTCATTAGGAAACAATGCTCTTTTTGAAGTCTTTGTGGGTGCAACTAACTGGGGTTGTTGATTTGGTCGGTGATAAGGCATCACTGGGCTGGGGGTCGCTTGAGTCATAATATGTATTCCTACGGAGGGAGTAGGTGTTTTTGGTGTGACCAAGGCAATTGTTGGGCTCGAAATCGGTTGATCTTGGAGTAGTCCATGAACTATGAAGTCTGTCTTTCCAAAGTCAGTGTTTTGATTTCCAAAAGAGAGCTGAAATTGTTTTGTTGTGCCGACCAAATTTTTTAGAGCTGGTGGAAGTATGAAAGGATCCTCATGTCCATCCTCTATCACCAGAGTGTGGCAAGAAACACGAAGTATTTTTTCGGCATGTCTTCCTATCATGAGGAAGTTTTGTTGATTTGTGCTATCTTCCATAATAAGATCTATTTTGAACCTAGGTAAGATGAGGATATTTGGTTGTTAGGAAAACAATACTGCTAATAGCAATCTTGTGGGTAATGTACCAAATGCAATAGAACTACTGTAATGCAGGGTATGCATGTATAAAATGGATAGAAAGACAAATTATTTAGAATTAATTTACCTCACATCAACATATTGTGCAGAATGAAAAGTGTATGTTTGAAAGTTTTGAGTTAATGAATCATGGAACAACATTATAAGCTGATTTTAGTTGCTGGCTCTATAATGTAGAAGCACAAATGGAAATGATGGTTCCCAAAGTTTGTAAGGCATAGTTTAACAATTAATATGATGTCCAAAAGTTGTGCACTGGAAGTTTAATTCCAAACTAATGAACATGTGTAAATATGGATAAGCACGACTAAAACACATAAAATAAGGATGAGTGCAACCCAATGACATAGAAAATAGATTGTTGTAGGCTACAATTCTTAACTGGAACAAATTTAAAAGGATATTTGACAATGATCCTATTTAGAATCACAGCTGTTAAGCAGAAAGTGATAACCAAAGAAGAATTTTCGAAATGATTGTTGAATGAATTTTTTATAGCAAGGCCTGGGATGCACACCATAAGGGCATCCTTTGTATGGATGAAGGATCATTTATGTATTATGTAATCCTTGGGGAGACGACTTATTTGTCATAATCGCAAGATAATAAAAAAGGATTCAACAACGTATTATAAGCATCATATGTAAAATAGGTGTAAAAGTATATTACCATGGTTCGGGTAATCTGTTTATGAACCCATGTTCATTGCACTCAAACGATTCAGAGTTTTTCTTGACAACTTTATGGCAAGACGGGCATGATTTGTACCACCAGCCCTTAGTTAAATCGAATTCAACAATAGTTGCTTGGCATACGAAACTTGCATTCTGTTATGGAAACATGAGGTTTTGAAATTAACTTTGCAAACATGGAGTATAAACAGATAGAGAAGCAAAGCAAGAGATGGTCAAGTTAGATGCAACATGAAAATCTATTAGTAAAAAGAGGTGGTTTCGGTGAATAGTTTGGTGATGACAAACTAACCTTGTGCAAGGCAGGATCAAGTAAAAGCAATTCGTCAATTGTTTTTGACTCAGTAGTAGCACTGACTGCACGGCCCGTATACATCTCAGCTGAGGTGGGCAGGATTTGAAGAGGTGATCTGCTATGCTTAAACCTGTTTTGTGCATGTTTAGGGTGAGAAAGATTAATCGAAGAAATATAAACGAAAAAGTTATTAAAGAAGGGTTGTCGATTTACTTGTGTTTGTATTCAGAGAGTTGTGGAATCTTTGGATTGAAAACACAAACGGTTGATCCTGTGCTTCCGAGAACAGGTTTTCCTGTAAATATGAGATAACAATTAACAAACTGAAACTTTAAGTAGTTAGATAAAGCATGGCAGGGTATAACCTTGGTATTGTTTTACTTTCAGGCTTGTGAAAGCACAAAATACGGGTGGCAAAAGTGCTTGTATTCCACTGGTCTCAAAACCTATTGCAGTCTCTCCCCATAAGGTTATTCTCACTGTTTCGTCTCTGTAAGTAATACAAAAGATGATGGTTTGGTATATGTCATAAATAGGGTGGCATATAAATAATATTTAGAGTTTAACGTAAATAGAAATTACCTAATGTTTTGCAAGTTTAGATTTCTCTTCTTTGCAACTCTTGTGTTCTGGATAGTGATTTCTTCAGTTGGTTGCACAGCCGTTAGGTAACCAAACACATCTACATATAATATTTAATGGGAGGAATGAGTGGACACTGAAGGCAACAAAAACATATAAATGATCAACTTAGATGTTTGAGCGGCACTTGAAACTAAATTTGTTACCTGTAAGCTCAACATCGTTGTTGATTCTTTGATGAAGTTGATTAAGCTCAATTAAATTGAACCAGTGCATTGGGAGTTCTTGACTTGTTTTGTGAATAGGAACGATTGTGGTTTTCCTATTCAATTCAATGATAGCTGCATGAGGGACAACCTTGCTCGATCTCTTGTTGTGAATGACACGAAATTTGTTGATTTCATATGCATTGCCGACACTTAGATGGTCCAAAAAAAATTGGATGTCTCGACCGTTGATGGTTCCGTGAACCGCATCTCTCTTTTAGAAGGAGAATTTTAAGATTAGACATAATACTAAATGAGTGGGATAACATTTAATGCATATAGTTTAAGAATCACGTAAACATGCAATATAGTCTACTTGTGGCTACTTAGATAGCATTTAAGATCATATGCAAGATAACAGTGGAGATTAGTCAAAGAATCAAATCGGTAGTAGTTGAAGCAACCTTGCAAAATGACATTTAGTTTGATTTGTATAGGAACAATGAAGAAAAATTAAGGAAAAGAAGACTTGATAGTTCATACTTAGTTTTGTTTCTAGAGGCATAAAAGCTTCCTCAAACAGAACAAAATATAATATTTGTAGTGAAATCCAAAGATAGGAAAAGTGTGCATGGTGCACTGTGAAATTATTATTTTTTTTTTTTTTTTTTTTTGAAGAAAATTTATTGAAAGCCATGCCATCATATGAAGAAAATAGGTTTTTCATTTGTTGTTTATTTGCATGAACTTGTTAACCCAGTATAAATTTAATGTTAAGCCCAAGATCATATTTAGTGAAACAATTAATCAGACAAATGGTAATTATGTAAGCGATGCATAATTGGGTAGCAAAGTGTATAAATCAGTTTCTTTGTGGAATTTAGTCTATGTTTGATTACAAAGTTTGTTGTACTGAGAACATGGCATGCACATTTGGATACGTAAAAATGCTAGCATTCAACGATAAGTAAGAAGGTGTAAAAATCTTACATCCTTATCAACGAAGACGCAATCAAGACTTATAGGTTGAGGATTATCTCCAATGCTTTTCGTGACCCATATTCTGCATACCCTGATGTGGAGTTTGTTTGCTGGCTGGTATGGCGTCAGAAAACGAATTGCTTGCTCCTCCATTAATCTAGATATATAAACAATTTAGGACCAAATTAAATTCAAAATTGAATAACGTGATTTAACAACTAAGTAGTGAAGTCATGTTTACAAAAATAAACAAATGCACAAAATAATAATACAAAGTTATACCTTCTTGTAAATGTTTTAAAACATCTTTATAAACTATGTTTTTTGTATAACCGTAGGGCATGTCGCTATTGTGAGCAATAACGATTTTGAGACCCTTTTTTGAGGTGACTCTGGATAGTGCAACATATAGTTGTCCATGTGAAAAAACAGTTTGCGATAGATATAGGCCAACAATTTTTAAGGATTGTCCTTGGCTTTTGTTGATTGTCATCGCATAACAAAGTTTAAGAGGGAATTGTCGCCTTCGTAGAGTAAAGGGATATTTATGCTGAGATGATTCAGTAATTATCCTGGGGATATAAACTTTTTCACCAATGTTGCTTCCCGTTATGATTGTTGCTTGTATAATTCTGTCGTTCAATTGCATCACAACCAATCGTGTTCCATTACACAATCCACTGCTTTGGTTTAAATTTCTAAGCAACATCACTGGGGTGCCAACTTTCAAATCTAACTTGTGGTGCAGTAAACCAGGTAAATCAAGTTGGTTTAGAAATTCATTTGGATAAAGTACATCTAAATTTTCTAAATTTTCTGTTGAAGAAGAGACCGAATCAAAACTGAGATAGGTACGATTTTCGCCGGGCACCATACCCAACATAAAAGCGTTTATTTCAGTTGTTGTATCATTTCGTGTTGTGACAATAGCTCTTTCTTTCAAATATGGCACATCTCGGAAATTAGTTTTGAAATTCGTATACACAGCTGAAACCATAACTTTGATAGGATCTTCATCAAAACGGATAAGGAATTGTTCTGGAATTTGAACCCAAGAGCTTTCTTCATTAGTTGAAGGTAAAGAGTTGTTAGCAGTATCGTTTCCAATGTCTAATATCCACTTTGCAAAATGAGTGAGTTCTTGTTTTTCTCTTTCGTCCAAACTTGGTTTCGAAAGCCTCATGTTTTGCTTCAAACAAAATTTTGTTAAATATGGCCAAAGGTATGAACTCGTCAATGAAGCTTCGACAATGTCAGCAACACTTCCGTTTGGAACAACAGGAAGAATTTGTCTGAAGTCACCTCCAAACAGAATCGGCTTACCTCCAAACGGCAAATGGTCAAAACCTGGTTTTGACCCCTTAAGAACATCACAAATGGACCTATCTAGGGTTTACAAAAACATCGTTTATGATTCATAGGTGCTTCATCCCAAATAATGAGAGTAGCCTCACTGATTAGTTTTGCAAGATGAGTCCCTTTTTTAATTTCACAAACTGAGCAATCTGTGATGTTGATAGGAATTTTAAATCTAGAGTGAGCCGTTCTTCCACCAGAAAGTAAGAGGGAGGCAATTCCATATGAAGCCACTGCTAAAACAATTTGATTTTGGGATCTAATTCTAGCCATGATGGTGGTCCACAAAAAAGTTTTGCCTGTTCTACCATGACCATGTACAAAAAACAGGCCAGATCTGTTGTTGTGAATTGTTTGTATGACACTGTCATAAACATATTTTTGCTCTTTATTTAACAGCCTGAATAGGTTTGAGTGCTCATGTTTTAGTGAGTCAACATTGTAATCTAACTCTTCCCTCAAACTCCTATTTGTAATTCTATCCATCATCAACTTGTTTGGTTGTGGTAGGTGATGCTTTGACAAAGAACTATTCAAAGCAGCAAACACTTTTTCTAACTCGTACAAAAGTGAATTCCTAAGTTGATCTTGGTACTTAGAGACATCTTGTAGGCCAAAAGCATTCATCATGTTTTTCGAAATGTCATCACACATCATCTTCCAATGTGTTTCAAATAGAGTTGATGGATTAGCAACATTACAAAAGAGAACCAATGTGACAAACAATTGCCTTAATTGAAAGGATGACGCAGTGACAACCGCTTCTAACATAGCACTATTCCATTCCATATCATCCCCTAATAATCCAAGCGAGGTGCATGCAGCTTGGAATGTGGGTTCAAGAATGCCTTTGACAGTCCTTAAATCATTAAAACTAAAGCTGCCTTTTTGGTAATTTAGTAGCAACCTCAAATAGTATAATTCACCCGCAGCAGGGTGAATATACGCAACCCTTCCTAGAGATCTACCTCTTTTTCTACGGGTCCACTGTTTTTCATCATTTTTCCAAACATACTTGGTAGGAAACTCAACGTAAGCTAACATACGTGCATCAGGGTCTTGGACATTGGTTTGAAACCACTGGGTTAACATAGTGCTTTCAAGATTTGGGTGGTTAACAACATGGTTTAGATCATCAGTCTCTCTAAAAAGAACATTTTGGTCAGATGGAAGGTGTACAGACAACCTCTCAACCGATGGTTCTCTAAAATGAATGTGAAATTGTAACAATCTCCACACTGCTTCGTATGGGCATAAGTATCTACAGTTTAGGTAAACCACAACCTCATCAAACTCGTCATCCTCAAAAACAGCTCTAGTTCGATCAACACCTTTAGTTATGTACTTAAAAAGATACTTAATGATTGTTGATTGACAACATGATTCAACGTTTATATGTGCTTGATACTTCAACAATAGTTCACGGTTGTAAGGGACAACAAATGTATTATCTAGCTTGATTCCGTTTTTAAGAACAAACAGATTTTGTATATCTCGACGCTTATATGCAACGAAACCCTCTGTGGAAAAAGTGGTTTCACTTGTGAAAGATTTAGGAAATTTTTTTGAACATTTGTTTTCTTTCATGCAAGGTGAAAATTGATTCGCAACACCACATGGGCCGTGGATCATGTACTGCGAAACTACATCATACCCAGCTTTGTCACGTTCTTCATCAGGAAGCTCAGCCGAAATGATAGAATCAACATCGTAAGGAGAATGACATTTATAATGTTGATTGACCCATAGCAAGATATGACAATGAGGAAGACCTCTTTTTTGGAACTCAACCGTGTAAATCACTGTTTAAAAAATTAATAAATATGCAGGAGTATCAAAACCATAGACTCTTAGGACTTGCAGTGATAAAATAGAAACAAATAAAAGGAAAAAATTGGTCAACAATAAAGAACTAACCAGATTCGACATCGCCAAAAGGTTTTTCTGATTTGAGGTATTTAATCAAATGGTCAAGTTTTGCTTTAAAAATTCTGGAAATTAAATTTGGCCTGTCTTCAGCTTTACAACTAGGTTTATCACGCAGATCTTCAATAATTTCAGGCCATTTAGCATTGCATGTGAAAGTGATAAATAAATCAGGATTTCCAAGGTGGTGACATATAGCCATGGCATCTTGATAATTATTTATCATATATCTAACACTACCAGTAAATGAAGTTGGGAGAATGACCCTTTTGCCAACAGAAGAACTGGTTGCATTTCCTGCTTTGAGCGCTTCATGAATTTCTTTAAGACCTTCTGTTCTAAAAGAATCTTGATTTGCCCTAATGAAATCTAACCTATCTTCTTCAAGTGTCGCATATGCATCAACTAAGTATTGTTGAAACAATCTGCCGCCTTTAAACAGGGTGTCACTATGTCCTGGTCTATCTTGAATTTGATAACCCAAAAATGCTCTCATTGATACCCCCCCCCCCCCAGTCTTTGGTTTTTTGCCCCTAAAATTTGGATTCCAAGGAAGACCTTTCCGGTACCCATCTTGACCGTATGGGAAAAGAAGAGGATATTGTAGAGCCATGTATTTAGGATGTAACTTTGTGATTCTTTGGAGGCCATCTGTCCTATGCTCCACAACAATATCTCTTTCGGTGTGAAATTGGCCAATGTCCCCAACTATTAAGCCACCTATCTCGTCACATGCTGGCAAATTGTATTGTACATCATGGTTACTCTGTGCACCGTACAAACGTAGACGTAAATTACTTGTGGACCTTTCATCAATTCTATCCTTGGCTTGCCTAAAAAGTTGAACAACCTCATTACACTCGTCTAGCATTTTAATGAGGCCACTAACAACCTTTTGATCGAGTTTTTCAGATGCTTCTGATCTGTTCAAACAACCGATATGATTACTGACTTCATTTTGAATGTCATAAATGTAGAGCTGTACAAATTTAGGATTGTCGCCTTCTGGAGGCAACAAAGAACCCATCAAATGATGCACTTGACCATTAATTTTAAAAACATATGGACCTCGACCTTTGTTGATCGATGGATCAACTTTGGCCCCCATTGAAGTTAATGCCATCATTGAATTATATGATCTAATATTTCTTTTAAACTGTAAAAAGCTTTGAGAATTTGTGGGGTTTAACAATTCATCCAAAAAAATGGGTGTGGGTTTAGCACGTGGGAATTGAACTTTTTGACTCATGCAACACGCAGTAAACTGCGGGGTAGAAATAGAAGAAGTACACTCAGGATGGTTTTTTGTCTGCTTTGCAGACCAAAATAGAGCACTACAATATTGACATTGGCAATTTCTTAATCCAAAATCAACATATTCTGGATCAATTCCTATAAAAACAATGAATAATAGAAGCATACATCAAACCAATTGATAGAAGTTAATTAACGAAGATAAGCAAAATTTTGAAATCAACAGCAAAATGTAAACAAAGTTATATTGAAAGAGTGCATACTCTTTCTTTTTTTCTGATAGGTGGCCTGCCCAGTGATGAGCGGGTTTTTAACAGAATGAATAGTTGGAGCATCTTTGGCTAACAACCGGTGCATAGTGGCATGGTCAGCAAGAAAAAGGGGTACAGAAATTTGATGAGAACTTGTTCCAGCAGCTGAATGTGAGGTAAGAAGACCTCGAACAGGAGTATGTTGTTCAAAACTTGATGTAAATGTTTGGGGAGGGTTGTTTCCTTTGTTTAAAAATAGTAAAGAGGTTGAAGTATTGTTGCATTCGTCGTCATAACTGATGGGAACATCTTGTAATACGATATCATCAAGATTAACAACCGCAATAGATGTAGGCGAATCAGCACACTCAGTTCTAGTGGTATTCCTAGATAGCCCTATTCTTCTAGACATAAATCTACATAAACGGAAAAAACCACACAACAATGGTTTACTTTCTAACAGAAGGAATGTGATGATGAAACAACTATGTTAACCATATGAAATGAGCGGTGAACCAAAACCCATTCAAGCAAGAGGTCTTCAGAATCGCAAACACTTTGTTAACATAATAGTAAAAACATAATCCTAATCTTTTTAGATTAGAATGAAGAATAGAGACAATTGATTTGTAATTGTTTCCTTAAATAGTGTGGTTTGTCAGTGCAGAGTGGAAAATTAATGATTAAAGTGAACGATGATTGCAAAAAAATGGTGATAAAGGAAAGCAGCATAAATATCGAATAACGACGTTACCATGATCCAAAAAAGCATGCATTGACTATTGAACATGTAAACCGAGAAAAGAGTAAAAATAAAAAATAAAAAGTTAAAGGTTCTTTAAAGGGACAAAAATCTAACCGTTGTAGAGACGAAAGTGTAGCTGTGAATGAATGTGCTACCAAAGAACAGTGCAGGACTCCAACGATAAAAACAAAACCTAGAGAAATAGGAAGACAAAATATAAACACGTATATAATCAGAGAGAAGCCAAAGACAAAACAAACATTGAACTATAAAAACTAATGCACGGCTCAACGACATTAATATAAGACATGCATTTATAAATTTGACAGAAACAAACAAATTATTTAGGTCTGACTCACTTTAGACCGATAGATAATGCAAGATGAAAAGTGTATATTTAAGAGTCTAAGCCCTTAATTTCCAACAATAAATATATTTTAACAGTCGAAGACGGAGTTGCACCTCACGTAGTTAATGAACAACATATAGAAACATTTGTGATGGATGCTAAAGGATATGCATCATTTGAGAGTTCGAAGATTAAAGCTTGCATTCAGTATATGTTAGATCCTGTAAACGTTGGAAAACTTTTTCATTAAATATGTTTAGGGAAACATAGAAATCTATGATGCGATTCCATTGTTCCGTTTTACAAAGTTTGTAGGTTGGACTCTTATTAAACGGTGAGCTTGATACAAATTATTAATGATAGAAATACTCCAGGATGTTTGGAGTTTAAGCACCACCACTTAAACATGTCAACAATACTCCAGGATGTTTTGAGTTTAAGCACCATCACTTAAACATGTCAACACGTCGATAAGTTGACTGGAACAATTTTATTTATAAGAAATAAAAATTGAAAAGAATCATGAAAAATCTGTTATGGTGGAAAAAATGGATTGAAGTCACTCCAAGGTAAGTAAACATAAGAAACATTTTATCATGGTCATAATTCAACTTGAAATTCCTGTCTAACGTGATGAACAACTTTGTATCCATAGCTGAAGACCCTAAAAATGTAAACCCCTAATCCATACTTTTAAATTGACACCCTTTAATAAAATCGTATCCAACTTTATGAATCACTCTGAAGTAGTTAAAAACCATTAAGTTGAGAAGTCATTAAAGATCCAAACACTAAAATCATTGTAGAGGAACAGTGAGCCGACCAATGTCGGCTGTTTTCACAGTTATCAACACAACTACGAAACCATGAGCATTAATCTTGCCACCTAGGCAAACCTCACCATCTCTAAACCCACCCTTTGCACACCGCAGGAACCTTTTCTATTTACAATTGTTGCATTGTTTGCATAATACGATGCCTTCCATATTCAAATAGTTACATACCAACCGAGAATAATAATATAAATTTGTCGCTCACCCCTTTTTCCCCATTTGAAAAACCACCCGAAAAACCACATTAATCACCATAGTGTTTAAGAATTCAGATATGGCTGCAAAGAATGAGCTAACACAGCATAAAACATATGTTTTGGAGTAACCAATTAAAAATTGTTGAGGGACCAACTAAAATTTTCAAATTTAAAAATGAGAACAGAATCTTGATAAAAACAACTAAAGTTGCAATTTAAAAACAAACGAATAATATCAAAACATTAATAGAAGAACTGTTTTATTAGTGTATAACCAACAAAGAAGCATGAGTCAAACGATCCTATCAAGAAAAAGAGAAATGGAAAAAATATATAAGCAGAGAAAACATATTCCAAGCAGAGAAACATATTCCTAGCACGCCAACACTTCATCCTTGAACGGTAAAAGGGTTAATTGTTTACATTATTGATGTTATGACCAAACAAAAGAGGTTTACATGGCGTTTATCTTATCTAACACCCGTTAAGTCTCTATACATTAAAAACCCAGAAGGATGTTACGGTGGAGGCAAGAAAGAGCAACAAAATTCCAATTTTGTAGCAACAACCAAACTTGTAGATCCCACCGAAAACCCGCCAAAAAAAATGTTAAACTTCTTCATTCAACGGAAGTTGTTCTTTCGGTGAATTACTACGATTTGCAGGTGAATGGATAGTGTGGACGACCAATTTGTTTCGGTTTGCACCCTTACCATAAACACGCAAACCCATCCTTGTTTTTTCTATTTTGACTTCTTTCTTTGTATTGGGTCATGGGGGAGTTTCTCTATATATCTGTATCGTTCTTCGAATCCTGTTATTGTTTCGAGCCTCAATCAGTTCCTTTAAATTTTTAACCAAAACTCCTCCTAGAATTTGTTGTTCGCTTCGATCAATCTCTTTGACCATTTTATCTACCTTGAATCACAAATTAAATATAACGTCAATACTTATGTTTGTTAGAAAAATCTGTTTAGCTTGTAGGTCTTAGAATAACACAGTAAAAAAATTTAAAAATTTAAATATAGAAGTTGTGATTTTTTTTTTTTTTGGAAATATGTCTGGTTTGTTGAGAGATTGGAATTGTTAACATCACTTATTAAAGCACTTCGGGGAGGATGAGACAGTAGACTACCAGATAAACCTAACGAAAAGGCCAACCAACCAAAATAACTAACCTTCGAAGAACGGTTTGGTAAAGTGAGAACGTAACAAAGAAAGGAAGCAACCAAAAGAAAACATATAAAATGCTTAACAACATTTGATAAACAATTAAAAACATTGGGTTAGGTAAGAATCATAGAGACACCAAGAGACTTTCACACAATAACAGAATTGCATACACAAAATTTAAACCAAAAAAAAGAAAGAACTATCGGACCTTTGGAGAAACAGAGGTTACAAAGAACATTTGATAAACAATTAAAAACACTGGGTTAGATAAGAATTACAGAGACTCAGAGACTTTCACACAATAACATAATTGCATAGACAAAATTTAAACGAAAAAAAATGAACTATCGGACCTTTGGAGTATCGGTGGTTACAAAGATAACGAAGAATGAGAAACAAAGCTTAGAACAAACGTTTAATATGAGGTGAAAAAACCTAACAGTTATGTTAAAAATTATAAAATCGCACTATCTGAAATGGAAAGCATGGGGAAACAATGTATTGAAGTTCAGAGCATACCAAAGGGTTGATTGAAACGTAATGGTTCGAAACCCCTTGATTAAAGGCAGTAGCAAGAGCAGATTATGATTGAACAATGTGAGCACAATCTAAACTGCGAAAAAGCAGTGAGACTGAGATTAATAATTTGAAGTGCAAACAAACAGTTACAATAAAAGTAACTTAAATTGTGATTGTATAACTACTAAGAATTTTCTCTATGATATTTCATATTTCCCCTTAGTTGTTTGTAGTAATGCTTTATCTTATCTAACAACTGTTCCATCTTTATACAGTGAAAGCCCAAAAAGCCGTTACAGTGGAGGAAATTAAGAGCAAAAAAATTCAAATCTTCTTGCACTAACCAAACGTGTAGATACCACCAAAAAACCTTTTAAACAAAATCTAACTTGTTTCATCCAACGGAACTTGTTCTTTTGGTGAATTACTACGATTTCAAGTGTATTTTAGAAAGAAAAATGTGTTTAGCTTGTAGATCTTCAAATAACATTGTCAAAATTTTTTAAAACTCAAATATAGAAGCGGTGAGTTTTTTGGAAATAACTTAGATTTGTTCGGAGAGCGTAGTTATTAACAGTACTTATTAATGTACTTTGGGACGGATGAGAGGGTTGACTCTTAGGAAAACCTAACGAAAACACCAACCACACCAAGCACACCAACCAAGCAAAGTAACTAAGGTTTGAAGAGTGGTTTGGAAGATTCAAAACGCGACAAAGAAAGAAAGCAATTGACAAAAAAAAACATATAAAATGGCTAACAACATTCGACTAAGAATTAGGAACACTCGGTTAAAGCAAAATCATAGATGACACCAATGCACCTTTGAACAATAATAGAATGGTTGAGACTAAGTTAAAACCAACAAAAACAAAGAAACCAATGAACTTGTGAAGTATCAAAAGATCACAGAGATAACGAAGAATGAAAACAAAGTAGGTAGCAAACGAATGACATAAGCTGATAAAACCAAACAATCGACTGAAACATGATAAATCTGCATTTACTCAACCAGAAAGCACGGGGAAACAATGTATCTTAGTTTAGGTGACATACCAAAGCCTTGATTCAGATGCAATAGGTGTGGATCCCTAGATGAAAGGCAGCAAGAAGAGCAGATCACAACGTTGCAATAACACCTTGATCTAAACTACAACAAATCAATGAGATTGAGAGTTAGAATTCGAAGCGCAAACAAATGGATACAGGAAAAGTAACTCAATTTGCGACAGTTCAATGGACTCTAACTGGGACAGTTCAATGGACTTAATGTACGACAAATTCACATTTAACGAAAGAAAAGTTGCTAACAATGGGAATGCATCTTCTGTCACCATATTAATTTAAAGGCCTAAAGTAAGGATGAGGTATCGTAATCGGTTTTGAATTAGTACAGGGGTTAGAGTGTGAGAACGTTGGTTTTAGAAGGAATAGGCTAAATAGAGTAAATAATGGTTCACGACCTAGCATGCATACCACATTACACTTCATGTACAGCCTAAAATAATAGAAAATATCAAAAATTGTCGAAAACAAACACTAATTTTTTAGAGCCTGAACTGATACAAATTAGAAACACCTCAATTGGCTTGCCTTCATTATTCACTTTATATCTTAAGAATAATGACTAAATAGTTTTAAATATTAAACATTCCACAATCAAAAAGATTAAACACTTGAATCAGTACTAATAGTCATTTCAGCCAAATTCATGATTGCAGGATCCTTAATATAGTATGTCTTGACAACAGATTCAATGATCATATTATATGCATGGACGTAAAAAAAAAGATGCATATATAGTTATATACACATCTATGCATGCATACCTATATAGGCATGTACATACACACAGAGATGCATATATACACATGTACATACACATGTATTTATGCATACATATACATATAGCTATGCAGATGCCTATACATATATTTAGACATATACTTCGGTATATATTGATAAATATACTATTTTGGCTAAACCGAAGTTGAGCAGACATAATACAAATAAGGAAATTATGGATTTTAGAACAACAAATAAATTTTGGCCAGCATCTGTCCAGAATAAATTAAAATACAGAACATGCATGAGGAATTATGTTTTACATTATCTCACTTGATATGATATTCAAAGGAAAAATAATTTTGATAGGAGTGCGAAAAATTTTAGAAAAGATAAAAAAAGATTGGATCTTAAATAACATTGATTAGTCTAAATTAATACCTTCCACTATATGAGAAAAATTAGATTGTTTCTCCATTTCTTAAAGACAGAAACCTCACTCTAACATTGTACGAAACAGTGCACTCAACAGCCTAATCTCCCCAACACCCAACTAAACAGCTTATAAACATCCATTACAATTTTAAAGAAAACAAAGGGTAAATCTCAGAAGGGTTTAACTGACGACCAGTCATTTATGCTTGATAATGTTCTCAATTATCAGCTGGATAAAGCAGTTAAAATGTGTTTTGGAATCAGTCGTCTGACATCATGTTTATCGACGTTGTTGGGATCAAAATTTTGGATGTTGTGGTCAAAATTTTGTGCCCGCCTAAGGATATTTGAGGCTAAAAAGTTAACTCTACTCATTTTAGCTTCTAAGTTATTTTATTTTTCGGTCTTCAAATTTAGACTAAATATTTAACATTCCATAGTGTAGTCTCAACTTCAACTTCACCGTGAGAGCTTGTATACTGGATTTACTTCTTTAGCCTTTTGTATGCAATTTATATTACACGACTCAAAATACAACTGAAATAGAACACAAATGGCCCATAGAAAAAAAAATGCAAAATATTTACTCATCCCTATTCACATTTTTAGTGAAAGAACTCAAATTTCAGAGATACAAAACAGAGAAGCTTGTATAAATCATTTATAAAGGTTACCTCCTTTTGGTTGAAAAACTGAAGGGTGATGCCAATTCTTCTTCTGCTTGCACCTCCTTATGGAACTTTACCTTGTACGTGAACCTGAAATTAGCACCCAGTCAGTACCTTTGGCAAGCTCATGTGGGTATTACAACATGTATGGGAAGATTATTGCAACTCTAATAAAAGAAGAAGCATTCATTTGAGGATGTTGATGTGTCATGCAGTGTAGGCAGCCATTTCAAGATGTAATTAAAAATAGAAAGTGTTGAGGACTCGTTCAAGTAGCTAATTTTGTAACCACAACTGTTCAAAGGAAAAAATAAGCAGAAGGTCTGTTTCCATATGAAACTGAAGAAACAGAGACATGAGAAAACTCGAACCAGCACACAACTGAGCTAAATTCAATTACATGGTTCAGTTTCATCAACCGAATTTCATAAAACCATCTACCAAACCAACATCCGTTTTCACTTCATTCAATGGTTAAAGAAAATTTTGGCCAACTCATGTTGAAAAGGAAAAGAATGAATTGCTGATTAGAAAAATGGATAATTCATAACTAATTAAATCTAAATGCATCTAATTCAGCATCAATTCAACAATAACTTCTTCTGGTTTCAAGAACTCATCTCTTACATAAGAGGAACGCATCTGTAATTACCCAAATGAGGAAAAACTAATACAACCAAATCAATGTTTATTTTCTTCCTGTTCCATCGTTTTCTCGGCAACCAAACAGTTTGTGGAAGGAAAAGGATTGAACCCAATAAGCAAAATCAAAACTTTTTTCTGCCAATTCATTCTCTTCACCCAGAAGAAGAAGATTAAACTGATAGGAGATAAACAGACAGCATTTTGTGGATTCTTTAAACAATACCAATTACAATGTTATCTACTCACACCACACCACACTGAAGAGGTTCAATTGATTCCAAAGAGAAATTAGAAACCAACAAACTGGGAAAATGGAGGAAACAAACATCTGCTAAAATTTGAATTTATCATGTCCCCAAAAGCCAAGTCCTCCCACTCAACAGGCAATCTCCATCGTCAAAACTGTTTTCTAAATTCGTGAAAACATGAAAATACAAAGTTCCTAAAAACCTACTTAGCAGTTAACAAAACACACAAAAAGCGCTGTTTGAGCAGGTAAGTCGTCAAGCACAGATTATTTCACTACCTTTTAACAATACACCAGTAAGCTTATCACACTAAAAACTGATATTAGCAAATACAATGATGAATGATGTGAAACTGAAGATGTAATGAAAGCTTATATTAAGTAAGAATGAAAAGCCGTATTTCTATAACTTGAAAACAAAATTTAAGTGAATGGCACTGTAACTAAGGTTATTGAACATGATTAACTATCCGCAACCCTCAACCTTGTAACCTGAATCAAATTGGTTTCACACATACCAATAGAAAATCAAATTGATTATGACATATTTCCAAAAGTATATAAACAATATAATATAGGTTAGAATCGTTGGATATTAATCTACAGTGAAGGAAGCTGTTAAACATATATGCTTAGGTAACTGATTTTCAGGCACCCTTATTTTTTCTTGCCACTGGACTGAACAAAAAAAAATGAGAATGAAGGGCTAAATCACTTTCAGTTAGTCTTCTTATTAGGCTGTGACCAATCTACAGTACATGTAACATCATATTTGAAATCGAATTAACATATTTGAATCCTATTTGGATCACCAAATCTTATTTATTGATTCAGAATCAATTAACATCATATTTGGACAGATCAAAGTTAATTTAAAACCTAGAAAATATTAAAATATAATGAATGAGTAACCTCATTCTTATTATATTTTTCGATTTTAATTAAACTACCATTACAGAAAACCATAAGTAATATAAAGATCAAAGGATATGTTATATTAAGTCATACTATATCAAGTTGGACTGAATTAGCCTTGATTTATATAGATCCATTTATAATGGGATTATCAAATTGAGATCCTAGCAATTGCATATTCTTTATTCATGGTACTATAAAAATGGGTATATACTAAGTTGGAATCACCACAGCAAAAAAAAAAAAAAAAAAAAAAAAACAGAGAATGCAGCATTTTCTCATATTTTCGAATCAATTCTAAACCCTAAAATCGTTATGGCTAGACCTTTTATTCACACCTCAGTTGTTGTTGTATCCCTACATCTATGAATCCAATTTCATTCAGGAAACAATGCGGAGGATAAAATTGAAAAAGAAGTATGTACCCATGATTAGTTGTCTCGTTTATTCTTTACAAACTAATCACATATTTAAAATCTAAGTAGAAAAGCTTTGCAAAGGTAATAAAAAAAATGGTGTATAACTAATTAGGCTTTTGAACATGTAATCAGTGTGCAGAATTGTATACCTAAAAATGGCAATGCAGTGTATTCTTCCTCCCAGAATCAGGGTTCCTGAAATTTCCAAAGAAAGTAAATCCGTTAGGAAATCCGAGAAATTGGAGGACCAAATATCATTAAATTTGAGTTCAATGAGGTAACATACAACAATTAAATGAGATAGTAAACAGATTTCAAATCTATGAAATGTAATGGTTGAAATCCAACCAAATCTAATTGTTCAACCTAATGCTTTTAATCCGAAATCTAATGGTTGAAATCCAACCAAACCTAATCCTTAAACCTATTCAAATTAAAACCATATGGCAATTGGCAAATTGGCAGATCAGAGTTGAGTGGAAAATGGTTGACTTGACTAATAAGTGAGTGATGAGTTTAAAACTCATCACATTTTCTCACATGCATTCTCCTTGGTCTTGGGATGGCGCAAAAACAAAACCACCACCCCACCACCTCCACCTCCACCTCCACACCCACCTTTACACTCACACAGAGTCGCTAATACAACCTAACCCAACCCAACCTATGTGACAGACACACATTTCAGACTCCCAATTTATTCACTCATAACTTCATAATTCAAATTAAAAATGTGAAACCAAAGATGGTTACATCCTTGGCCTTCACAAATTTTGGTTAGAACTATAATGTTGTTTCAATTTTTAAAATTTGATAACAGCAAGCAACAGAGCAGATAGTATTAAGATCGAAAAAGCATTCCAGAAACCGTGGGAAAACTGTAAAAGCTAAAAAAACTGTGATGGTGGAACGGATTAAATTTGTGAGAATGCAACAAACAAAGGGTATATCTTAGAAGGGTTTAACTAACGACCAGTCATTTAGACTTGATAATGTTCTGAATTATCAGCCGGATAAAGCTGTTAAGATGTATTTTGGAATCAGTCCTCTCACAGCATGTCCATCCACGCTGATCATTTTTAACTGCCTTTTATTTAGAATTATGTGTCAGTGTAGTTTTGATGGCACGAATTTTTTTTACATTACACCAACTTAGGATGTAACAATCACACATTCTACTGCTATCGTGCTCATACATAGTCAAAGGATGGCATAATTAGATAGCTACATATAATCTCGATGTGCACAAAAAAATGTAAGAACAGTAATTAAACCAGTGTTAAATAATATACCTCAAAAGTCAAAGGGGCAAGTTTTCCGGCTAACGATCCAACTTTCTGAAAATCGCAAACAAAGCAAATCAATTAGCACTAACTCACAGAACAGCAATGAAAATAATAGCTCAAAGACAGTGGCAAAATTTTATTACCACTAATCACACATTGGTGAAATAGAGATCCTAGCAAAGCTACACCAAATTAGTAATACACTATAGCCATTAGTTCCAGGTTCTGTAAGTATTATCAGTACAATGGTGTACATTTATGTAATGAGTGTGTTTATTATGTGGCATTCATGCTTAACTGACAGATGATACAACATTGTTGTATCAACAAAAAATTAGAAGGAAAAAAAATTCTAATGACTGAAATAGATGATTGTGAAAGGCTTAGCATATACCTGCTGCTAGGAAATCGAGATTCGAGCGGATGAGACTCTGTTTCTGAAAAAAGTGCACATACTTGAGCTGCAAGGATACATCATATAGCAAAAAAATTGAAGGAAAAAGAGTTTGTATTGAAACATAGTAAAGAGATTTGTATTAGAAATTATTTTGTATAAAGAAAATTTAAAATGGACAAACAGATACCTCACTAATGGTCTGTTTTGTGGCTCCTGTGTGAATGGATGGTTTGATCTGTATGGTTGTGTTGGATCTACATGCATATCAAGAATCAAATAAAAAATGCATTTCAGAAATATATAAGAAACGAAGAAATGAAATAACAACCTAGCAACATATGGATAGTCGAATGATGTGAAATGGAAAAGGAATCTGAAGTTGATTTGTTGAGAAGCAAGCAGTAGGAAAGTATGAAGAAACACAAAAATGAAAACAGTGCAACCCCTTTGGTTATAAAGACAGAAATATCACCGTAACAGTGAACTAAACAGTGAGCTAAACAGCCTACAGACCCTAATTTAAAAACAATAAACTTAAAAAGGAGTCTTAATTTTGTTTACTCATAAGCTTTTTTTTGGTTTATTGGTTCATACTTTTTTAGGTCCTCATTGCTTTTTTCTTGTATATGTTCATGGCTTCGAAATTTTAATTGATACCTCTGTACATATGTTCAACATAATCAACAACCACATAATTATTTATGGTGATATTTTTCTTTCTGCACGAACAATTGCGGTTTTCTGCTTTTATCGCTGCTGTTTGACTTACTAAGCAGGTGTTGCTATTGTTTGTTTGCAGACTCCAGAGAAAGTTTGCAATAAAAATTTAAGGACTTGAGACATACAATGAGAATGTCAGTAACTTGCTGAATGCATAATCTGTTGGTAATTTAAAGCTTCTGGATGATCCAGAGGTATTGCCTTTCTAAAATTACTATATTAAATGGAGCACCACAAATAAATGTACATTATGGTTATTAGGATATTGGATAACGTTGTAGGATAAGTTTGGACATCCAGCTAACAACCTACAAATGACTAAGAGGAAACCCTAATAGTTAGCTAACCAATATAAAATATCTATGAGAGCATTAATGATAGAAAAAATATCTATGACAATTTTAATAAATGCAATGGCAAAGTAAACAGTGAACAACAATTTAAAACAATAAACTGAAATAGAATTAACCCTAAGGTGACCTAAACAATCTACAAAGATCTATGATAAGTTTGATGAAGGAATACAAAATCTGTAACAATTGCTAAACAGAAAAATGATGAATCATACAAAAATTTATCAAGAAACAAATAAATTAAATCAGGGCAAGGCCCTAATTACAAAAATTGAAGCCTAATCCTAGCACCAACCGAAAAAATTATTAAAATGCATTGCAATTTGAATGAAAGAACCAAATATCAATGGCAATTTTAACAAAGCAAATGGCAAATTAGACACTAAACAATTAAGGAAATACAGTGCATTACCTTTTGAATCAAGGGAGAAAGCTGAAAACCCACACCCTGCCATTCCTCCCTCACCCATCCCGTCCTCACCGACTCTGTGCGTAACCTCTGAACCCTAAACAATGCACACACGCATGCTTTCCGTTCTGTATATCTCTCTTTGTTCATTCCTCTGTCTAAAATCGCAGAAAATCCTATAGACCCTGGCACCAAACCCGTAGCTCCCATCTATCTCCAATCTGTCAGTCTCTCTGTTTCCATCCTCACCACTCACTCTGTCCCCTTCCTCTTCCCTCGCCACAGCGACACTCAGCTGTCTCCGAGTCAAAAATGGGAGCCACTGTCTCTCTCAAATTCTTCAACCGTGATGTCCCCTTCCCCTCTCTCCCCGAGTCAAAGCTAAAATGCAGGCCTTGTGTCTCCCTGCTCTGTAGTCGCTCTGTCCCCCTTTCTCTCCGCTCGACACAGCGACACCCAGCTGTCTCCGAGTGAAAAATTGGAGTCATCGTCTCTCTCCAATCTGTCAGCCATGATATCCCCTCCCCTCTCTCCCCAAGTCAAAAGCTGCGAACGGTTGAAAATCAATTCTTAAGCCTGAGTGGCAATTGTGTAAATAAAACGAAAGTATGTTAAAAGCAACCGAGTGGCAATCTTGTAAATAAACTGAAATGTGGTGCAACACTGTTCATTTCTACAGTGCAATTTTGCCAGCTTCTTTAGACTAAAGTAATTAGAATACAAAGGTCAACATTGTAATTAGATGACATGTTTAAGTGTCTATAACCGGAATAAATTTATGAAATTAGATTCCGATTACAAAATACTCCTTTATTTGCTTTGACTTTGGGAAATCAAAATGCATACTATCCACACGAATTTAGGAATCAACTTCTCCTTTTGGAGGAATTGGACTACCTGAGGGAGGCATTTGAATTCCTTGACATGTGGGGATTGAAATGGATTTTCTTTACCAATTATGCCCTCACATGGTTCGATTATACCAACACTGTCCTCACTTAATTTCTATTAATTAGACTAAAAATAAGGGAGCTTTAACGAAAGGGCTTGGAACAAGAGTATTTTAAGAAAAAAAACCACCCTATATTTTTCTTTAACCAAAAACATCTCAAAATTAATCATAAGGACAGAGCCCCCCAAATTCCAAACGGGCTGGGTTACAAAGCCCAACACGAACCAAAATAAGTTTTCAAAACTGCCCATAACAGAAGGAAAACCCACCCACGCGCAAAACTCAGCAAGAACTAGTGAGGCATTGCTGAGCAAATAACATTCTCATTGCCCCGCTCAAAACTACCGAATACGCATACCATCTCAGTAAGGGATATCATGGAATAGGGACAGGTGGAGAGATATCATCAGATTGTTGTCTCTGAACAAAGTTTCAGATGATTCCTAATCAGATTATTCTTTTGCAATAACAAACCACCTGACCAGTTCTTTGGTTTCCTCTGAGCCCCTTTTCCAAAGGTGCCATTTTTTTCTTATAAATTTCTTATTTTTGTTGTTTTTGAGCTTATTTGATTGAATATATCAGTGAAATTTTGAATTTTGAGAATTGGGTATGGATATTTTGTTGTTTTCTGAGATGGGTATTGATTGAAATTTGAAATCTTCTTTTGGATTGATGATTTCGTATTTTTTGTATGCATTGTGATTTGGAAGACAATAGGCAACGTTTGATTCATAATTTCGGTAGAGGCTACCGAAAAGATTGAATATAATTTGTCAAGATTTGATGATACCTTGATTTTTTGGTCTGTCCAAGCATACCATCTGTTCTTCCATTTTTATGCACAATTTTGGTTTCTCCGTCATTGTTTCTTAATTACCGAATCTACTTCAACAATGCATGGATATTATATATCTCTTACAGTATTACATTATTCTTTATTTCTTAATGTCTTTTATTGCAATTATAAACTTTGTTATATGCAAATTTACAAGTTCTTTCATATTTCTGTAATGATTTAATTCTTATTTGTGCCCTGCAAACATTTGCAACATTTTCTCCTCATGTTTTGTATAAATTTATGTATAAGATTTTGTATGAATTAATTAGTGAAAATTTAATTTCTGCTAATTATTTCTCTTTTTATTATTCCAAAAAAATAAATAAATAAAAACATAACTGCTTCTGCTGAAGTTGTGGGTTGGCCTCCAAATCGATCATAATTTGGGAAGAATCTTGCAAGCAGCAAAGGCTCTTCCGAAAATGTCCAAAACAAAGCTCCTAATGGTAAACTAGTTGAAACCAGCGGAAAGGGTCTGTTTGTGAAAATTAAAATGGATGGAATCCATGTTACCTCTTCAAGTTTTCTGTCATCTAAAGAATCCGCTGCCTTGGAAAATCTCCTGAGAGCCAGAGTTGACGCCACCTTACAATCACAAAGACATAGATCTCTTGTATAATTATAGCAAATAGTAAACACAATCATGCATGTATTATAACTTTTACCTTATCTTTTTTTCTTTCTTGTACTATAGATATTGAGGGATGAGCTCAAGATTCTGAGAGTAAATGTGAATGCTTTTAACCAACTGAGTTACAAGTCTTTGTTATTTTAGCCATATTTAAAAGAACGAATTAAGTAAAATCTGGGATATATGTATACTAGTAGGATGTCTAGATGTTTATATTGTCAAGTTGTCAAATGGTACTATTATTGATCATATTTTTTTTGTTTGTTTAGAGTTATGTGCTAATAAAATAAATATATGTGTAAATTTATTCACGTATCCTTATTTAATTAGCACGAAATATCATATGGTAGTATATTTTTGGGATTGTGGTGCTTTTAGAAAAGGGAACTTCAATGAAAAATGATTGTCCAAACTTTTACTATCCAAAAGCCATTTACTGACTTTATTTAATAAAAATAGCTTAATCTTTATTGAAAAGGAAAAAAACCTAGAAAGAACAACCAAAACAATGAAGCCTCACGTGCAAAATATGAAATTCTTTTTCCATCCATGCCCCTGACTTCTGTCAGCCCACTATTGTTAGAATTAAACTTTCATTTATTTACAAATAGGACATTGCCTCATTAAAGCCCAAGAACCACATAAAAATTTAAAATAATATTAACATTTTCTAGAGGACTCGTCAAAATAAAAAAATAAAAAAAATAAAAATAAACCTTTTGCTGGAGGATACCAATTAACCCCCAACATAATTAATTATCTCCAATTCCTCGTCTCGCCTCCCAATCAGTGGCGGAACCAGGAATTTAAGACAATAGGGTCAAAAAATAGCTTTCAAAAATCGATATACTTTCATTTATAATTGTCCACGACGTGTTCTCATATTTTGAAAATATCGTATTACAACATCATTATTCATAGAATCATATACCTCTTTCTCAATGTACACAACCAAACTATCATTCAACCATTGATCACCCATCCTACTACGATGTGGATTCTTCACAATTTTCATGACCGAAAAAGCTCTTTCAACTAAAGCAGTCGCAACAGGTAAAATCAATGCTAATTTCACTAGCAAGTACGCCAAGGGATACTGTCTATCCCTCTTTGTCTCCACCAACTTTTGTGCAAGGCTATTAATTCCTTTCAACGCAGAAAATTCATTATGCAAACGCATATCAAAAATATAATTCTTCAGTTCATCTTCAAGAAGTGTGAGCTCCATATCAGAAAAATCTTTTGGATAAAATTGGGCAAGACGAACTAACTTTTCAATGTCAAAAGCTGAGAATGAGTCATCTGGGCTTAAGCATGCTACACAAAGAAGCAACTCTGTACTTGTCTCATTAAAACGACTATTCAACTCTTGAAGTTGCTTATCAATAACATCGAGATCAACATGGTAGTGATGAAGGTTTGTCAAATTTTCAACTCTATGCCGTGACCTCCCTCGAGCTACAAAGATATCATTCATATCAGGAATATCAATATCATGCTTGCCACAAAAAGAAGAAACTTTATCAAGCCAAGCATCCCATCCATTAGCCCTCATTGCTTGTAGTTGTTGCTTACATGCTTTGACTAAAGCCATAGCACTCACTATATCGAGATCTTTCTTTTGCAATGCATGTAACAACACATTTGTGATTCCCAATATTTCTTTCATCAAAAAAAGACTAGAGACAAAATCAAAAGATTGCAAAAGATTCAACAAAATATCCACTTCACCTCTTTGATCAAGACTTACACCATCATCTACAATCATCTCAAGCACCTCAATTACAGAAGAGAACATATTAATCAAGCTTACTAAGGTACCATAGTGTGAGCCCCAACGTGTATCACTTGCACGTTTAAGACTAGTTTCTTGGTTCAAGCCTTGCCCATTTAGAAGCTCATAATTTTGAATAGCTTCCATAACTTTGGCTTATTGTCTTTCTCTAACCATGTCTTGACATTTACATGATGCGCCGACAATAGTAACAACTTTATTAACCATGCAGAAAAAAGAGCCAATTTGAATATGACAAATATGATTTTTTGCCACGGCTACAAGACCAAGTTGAAGTTGATGTGCAAAGCAATGAATATAAAATGCACTTTCATTTTCTTTCAAAATAACTGTCTTAAGGCCATGAAACTCACCTTGCATATTGCTAGCCCCATCAGAATCTTGTCCATGCAATCTAGATATGCTTAATCCATTTATAGAGAAGAACTGATCAATTGCCTCTTTAAGTGAAAAAGCAGTGGTATTAAGAACATGCTTTATGCCCATAAATCTTTCAACTACTTGTCCGTTCGTATTCACATAGTGAAGTACAATTGCCATTTGCTCCTTGACTAATACATCACGTGATTCATCAACCAAAACAGAAAAGAAAGCAACATCACCAATATCAAACATGATAGCTTTGGTGGTTTCACATGCTACTTCATACACAAGATCTTTTTGAATTTCAAGTGATGTTAACTTGAGATTTTCAGGAGCATTTTTAAACACCACATCTTTAATATCCTCATTATGATCTGCAAGAAACTTCAAAAGCTCAAGAAAATTACCCTTATTGTTTGAATCTTCACTTTCATCATGACCACGAAAAGCAAGACCTTGTCGCAATAAAAAGTGAATGCAATCAAGTGATGCATTCAAACGAGTGTGATAATCAATACGTGCTTGATCCGACTGCTTGTGGACAATTGTTTTAATATGTTGATTCTGATTCATTAAAGCTTCACAATGAAGTAAAGCTTGGTTGTGAGCACTTATTAGGACCTCCAACATGAACTCGAAGTCGACATTTTTTCTTCCAATTATGAAACCCTTTGCTAGTAAAATTGTCATTACCTACTTGCTCCAGAATCTCTAGCTTGAAGAGATAATAGCTTCAACAAAAAACAGCATTTTTGGATATGTTATACTTCAACCAAGTAGGAAAGTCATCGA